GAAGCTGCTCTGGTGAGCCAGCACCAGCGCAGCACACGGAAACGCCGTTTACCTTCCCGCTATAAAGCGGTACCTATTTATCTACTTGCACTTAGGGGTGCTTTCAAACTGCTAGGTGGGCAGGAGCTGGGGCTGAAAGACGGGAGCTCGCCCGCCACAGGGATTCGAACCGCCAACCATGCGATCAGCAAGCCCTAGGCACTGAGGTTTTACCCACAACGCCACCCGCGTCCCATAGATAGATAGATAGAAGTGGTCTAAAAAGGCTGATCTACCAAAAAACCCACAAAAAAACACCCTCAGGCATAAGATTGTCATTTGCTGGACTGGCAAAAAGCAGAAGAGTTTTCACTTAGAAAGGAAAGAAAACTCTAAAACAAACAAAAAAACAAAACAAATTGCATTAGATATAATTTGACAACCTAGAATTCAGTTTTTTCTTGAATAATCTGATTGGCTTTATTCCCATAAGCCTCAAATGTAATTATCCAGAAAAGCCTGTGGTTTTATTGCATTTCATGAAGCAGCTATTTACTATTTTATTGGTTTTGTAACTTTTGATATGTTAACATATGCCTGCATTGGTCTGCTGTATTTATTATGTTTCATTTAATTATATTTCCAGTTTGGATGCTTCTGCTTTATTTAACAATTTGATAGTTAATTATTGGGAGACTAGATGTGACCTTCTTCCTCTGCAGAGGGGAAAAAGCATGATATTTATCAATGGACTACCCTCTTACAACCCTAAACTGGGTAATAAAAAGCTCTGTGGATGCGCATATATATATATATATATATATATGTATATGTATATATATTTGAAACCCAATACTTCAGATAAATTCAGGATGCAGATTCTGAAACCTTGACAGGTAAACGACCTGGCTCTAGCATATTGAAGTAAGGCATCTCTATCCATTGTCTCAGCTCTCTGGTGTTATGCAGCATTTATGAATATTCCAGCCATTTGAGAGAGAAATCTGCACTGTTACAGTGTTGGTTAATTATTAAACAGTGTGAGAGAATTTTATGTTTTATGACGGTATGTGAATTACAAATGTGAATGTTATGTGCATATGATTAGCAAGTAGGTAATATATGAATAGCTGCAAGGGTGCCAACTTGAATAAAATATTGGGGAGGACAGGTATGCTTCACCCCACATAACTGATCAAAAGACCCAGTGCACACACACCATTTGAATGGCAATGCCTATCAACCTTTGGGGGGAGTGGCCTCCTCAAATATTTTATTGGGGTGGCGGCAAAGGAGCCTCGGCCCCTAAGAGTTGGCTCCTACGAATGGCTGAGTGTATGAGAGAACCAACAGTAAACTGATAAGAGTCTTTCTGTAACTTTTTGTTCCATGATTAGAAGGACCTTCCATTCCTGGAAGGAGAGTTGCACTCACAAAGGCTTTCCATGAGCAGAAAGAGTCCTTCCATTCGTGAAGCAGAAAGATCCAAGCCAGGAAGTGTGTTTCACACACATCTGCAAATTCATCTCCCCTTGTATGAGCATTATTTGTGACAATGGATTAGGCACAGAAACCTCAAATGTATCTCCTCTTGCTGTATTTGGATTTTCGGGTGGGGGGGTGGAAGGCAGTTTAAAATGAGTCAATTTCCCCCTGAGTTTTCAATTTGCAGTTCCTTATTAACTGGAAACATAACATTTTCAACAACTCTCATAGAAGTACTGATTTGTAGTAAAATAGTAGGTTTTTCTTGAAGAGTATAAGCCATTTCTTAGACAAAAACTTCCATTAATATAAGTACTATACTTAACAAATGATTATTTTTAGAGGCATCATACCAGAGCATCAATTTAAGTAGAAAAAAAAAGCTGTGTGTTATCAACATCACTTCTTAAATATAGTTTTCTTAACATACCCATTTCATCTCTCCTCATGTGTCCAAAGTAAAACCTAGTTCACTCAAACAGGAGATGTGGTGATAAAATTTATTGGGTGCTTCTATCTCTCTGCGAGACAAAACAGATCTCATATGAATCAAAATCACTAGAAAACATAAAACAACCCTGACCCTGACCCCTCCTAACCCTGACCCAACATATTAATCGGTGATCTGTCCAGTAGTCATTGAGACTGATCATATCTCTGGTAAGGAGGACATCACAGCAGTCTTTAGCTTGGACAATTACATAGTCTAAGAGATGCCACTGGTTCCACCAAAGATGCCTCCAGGATGTTTTAAATTTATTTTTTGTTGAAAGTGTGTGTTGGTAATAACGAGGTTGTGCACTGCACATATAGTCAAAAGTAGAATTCTGTTCTGGTTGCTGTTGCCCATTCCTTCTTTCCCAGTACAATGGTACCTCAGGTTACATACGCTTCAGGTTACAGACGCTTCAGGTTACAGACTCCGCTAACCCAGAAATAGTACCTCGGGTAAAGTACTTTGCTTCAGGATGAGAACAGAAATCGCGCAGCGGCAGTGGGAGGCCCCATTAGCTAAAGTGGTACCTCAGGTTAAGAACAGTCTCAGGTTAAGAACGGACCTCTGGAACCAATTAAGTTCTTAACCCGAGGGACCACTGTAGTCCCTGGCCACAGATTTCTAGTCTAGCATATTGATGTAACAATTGAACTTTCGGGAAATGGCCCTGGGAGCAGGAGCAGAACAACCTAAGTACAGTGCTCCAATCCCCACCTCCTTAAACTGCTCCGGTGCAATTAACTCTATTTCTCATGAGTTTAAGATTGAATGTGTATGTGTGAAAGATATATATATATATGTCAATTCCCAACATTCCACCAGTATGATCAAAGCACTCAAGATGAGACTATTCAAATGAGCACATGGGGCCATTGCAAGAAAATTATTAATGTGCAAGAAAAGTAAGTGTGAGGGGAAACTGTCATCCATCTTTGAACCTGCATAACAGCATAGAGGGGGACAAATTGACCTGAATTTAACCAGAATCTCTGCGTGATTGCACCACATGCCTAGGTGGCAGCTCAGAGCTACTGGTATTGGGTTCAAGTGTGGCACACTCAAGCTAGCAATCCTAAATTTACTTACTAGGAACCTATTGACTTCATTGATACTTACAGCTGAATAAATAAATGCATACATTTTAAAAGTTTTATTATTTTTTCTTTAGAAACCAGCATAAATACAAAACTATAACTGAAGAATAAAAGAGAATAAAATAAAAAAGAATAAAAGAAAACTATGTCTCATAAATATGCTGTGACTAGCAGTTCTGCTTCTTTGTCCATGTTACCTTTGAGATGTGCATGAAACACCATCCTATACTAGTCCAGGTATCTCAAGATGTTTAAAAATATATATGAAAGATTCTGCCAAATTCACCAGTCCTGTGCTGGTGGGCAATGTGATAATGACATTTTCTTTTAAAAGGTATACTAAATATTGCTTTAAAGATTTAGTCTGCCTTTTAAAAAAATTTGTTAAAAGAGTCCATTGTGTAAGTAATATTAACGTAAAGGTAAGAGGCACCTGTTTTCAGAGGATGAGTTACATTTCTGCATAAACTAGCCTCCAAGAGTTATACAGTGGTATCTCAGGTTACATATGCTTCAGCCTACATACACTTCAGGTTACAGACTCCGCTAGCCCGGGTTAAGAACTTTGCTTCAGGATGAGAACACAAATCGTGCTCCGGCGGCGCGGCGGCAGCAGGAGGCCCCATTAGCTGAAGTGTTGCTTCAGGTTAAGAACAGTTTCAGGTTAAGAACGGACCTCCGGAATGAATTAAGTACTTAACCTGAGGTACCACTGTATACACATTCTCACCATGAAAGTAATTACCAATATTTCTGCCACCTCGCCAACAGGTTGGACATATGGCACAAAACATTCAAAAGCATTGTAAAAGCATACAATACCCCCCACAAATGAGATTCAAAGAAATCAGCCAAACTGATATTTTCTTCCACTTCGTAGCCAAGATAGTTTGCTAATTGGTTGGCAACATGCTTGATCCTGGCAGGCTACCAGACAGCCTCCCAGCATTTGTTGCATTAACTTGGCTGGACTGAGGCCCTGAACATCAGAAATTGAAAGGGAAGCAGTGTCCCATGCAGTTAGAATGGATTTTTCCCAGGGTGATCTGTGGCTAAGCATTTAATAGCCTGTCTGACGCTCGTAGTGGTTAATCCATAGTTTTGTGTAAACTGATGCAGACCCTAAACTCACTAAAAGTAAAAAACTATAAAGACTCTCCTTGCAGGATATCCTTCTGAAATTTAGCAGGAGACATGCTCTCAGAAGGGGCAAAGTAGCTTGCAAATTTCATTTAATTATGGCAAAAAATAAAAATAAAATGTTACATATGATTCCTTTTTGGGTAAATTCAGATTTTAAAGTGTCCAGAATAAGTGACACTGGACCTATCTTTTTCCATAATTTGGCATAATTTATTGATTCAAAGGGGATTGCTATGCCTGAATATTTCATCCAAATTCTGTGAAAAAGAAAAAAAATATTATATCTATCTTTGATTCCTAATAATATTGAACGGGGAGTGGGGGTGGGGTTAAAAATCTTTTCTTCTTTTTTCTGAATCTGGATGTAGAATCCAAGCTAAACTGGATAGCCTCTGAAATGCTTCCAGAAAAATCTGATGTGCTGAATTGTGGTCAAAACCAAATTTTGTGGTTGAAACAAAACCCTTGGAATTAGTTCCTGAGTTATTCAGCATCATGCCCTCTGATGTGCCTGACAAAACAATAATCTTGGGCCCTCCATTTACTCCTATGGATATGTTGTCATAATTTTATAGCAGTAGGGAAGAAGAGACTCTCTGGATTAGAAGATTCTGATTAAGATAGTCACTCTTTACATCCTCCTCTACCCTCAGCTGTTGTAGTTATGACATAGTAATTACAATCATTTGAAGGAATGATGGCATAAGATGGCACTATCTAAACATAATAATGCTCTTACTGGTAGAAATAAATTAATAAAAAATTGTCCAGTATCACCTTAGAGACCAACTAAGTTTGTTCTGGATATAAGCTTTCGTGTGCGTACATACTTCTTCAGATCTGAAGAAGTATGTACGCACACGAAAGCTTATACCCAGAACAAACTTAGTTGGTCTCTAAGGTGATACTGGACAATTTTATTTATTTATTTCGACTGCGTGAGACCAACACGGCTACTTACCTGAATCTAGAACTGTGCCAGAAGGTCCTATTCTCATTCAACAGGAAAGAATTATACCATAAAATCCTGGTACATGGCAGGATGACACCAGCCAAACTACCAATGCAATACATTTGCCCTTTTCTGGAGAGAGAGAAAAATCACAATACTTAGTTTGAACATAAGAAGAAATGTCATTCACAAATTGTCACCTTCAATCCAGGCTTCCTCTTCAGTTGTCTGAATGCACAGAACGAAGCCACCCAATTTCTATCCAGCAGTTTTAGCAAATGGAAAATCTCAGCCATAACGTCATTTTAGAGGCTGCCTTGCAAATAGAGGAGTTTTGCTTTGTCATAACAAGCTAGGTTGCCTTTGTTATTATCATATATAATCTCCAGGCATGCAATAAATCAGGCGCGCTGTCTTGAGGATTTTTGTATCCGTGTCAAACTTTTACCCTCTGGTGTTCAGTTAAGGCATGCTTTTTTAAAAAATGGATGAATAAAATTTGAACACTAATACATTGTGTATTCATCACTCTCCCCACTCCATGTTCCTTTTTATACAAACCTATACCTTTAATGCTCAAACAGCTAAATGCACACATGGGGACAAAATATGATGACCAATGGAATTAATGCAGTTCATCTCTGTACATAGCCTTTTCATGATTGAAGGAACAACAGTTGCAGAACAATTAGTAAAACCAATGAGATGCTCACTGTATGGTGGCAAAGGAGTTTGGAACCATGACCCATAAGGATGGGCTACAGCTCAGTGGGTGGGTCAGCTCCAACATCTCTTCCAAGATGTGTTTATCCCCCTTTTCCCTTCCCATCCCCTCCTTCCTTCCATTCCCCTTAGTTTACTTCAAGTTCTGCATAGTCATTTAAAGGACGAGCACCAGCACGTGATGTCCTTTTGCAGCTGCTGGGGCAAAAGCAAACAATAGTTAAATGTCAGCCTGCCAGAAAAGCCCCTCCGTCTGTTGGCCAATGCTGTAAGCAGAAGCAGGCACAGTGCTTGCAGTAATTAGGTAAAGGTAAAGGACCCCTGGGCGGTTAAGTCCAGTCAAAGGCAACTATGGGGTTGCGGCGCTCATCTGGCTTTCAGGCCAAGGGAGCTGCCGTTTGTCCACAGACAACTTTCCGAGTCATGTGGCCAGCATGACTAAACCGTTTCTGGTGCAACGGGACACCATGATGGAAGCCAGAGTGCATGGAAACATTGTTTATCTTCCCGCCACAGCAGTACCTATTTATCTACTTGCACTGGTGTGTTTTCAAACTGCTAGGTTGGCCAAAGCTGAGACAGAGCAATGGGAACTCACCTTGTTGCACAGATCTGAACTGCTGACCTTCCAATCAGCAAGCCCAAGAGGCTCAGTGGTTTAGACCACAGTGGTTTAGGCTGTGACCCATGTCTTTATAAAGATGGTATATTATTTCCTGCTAGGTGTATTCTTTTCATTTGTTGCCCAGAATAATATTTCAAATGTGTTTCACCTTCCAATAGAAACCTTTTAACTCTTATTGGCTTTACATAGCCTTAAAGCTTCCATTTATTTGACAAAATGCCTTTACGTATATAACTTGTCTCCAGAAGGGAAGTATTTCATTTCAATTATACCTGACTTTAATATATATATAATACAGCAGGCACTGCTTTCACTGACAGAAATGTCTATGATAAGAAATTAATTAGCAATGCCCTATTTCTTCCAATAGATGTTCTCTATTGTAGTGATGTGACTTTTTAAAAAACCCAGAGTAGGTTAAAATGAGACTTCCTTTACAGTATTTTATACTAAGGTGTCATGCCTTCCCTTTTATTCCTGCAAAAATAAAAATGATTTGCAAAGAAAATGGTTTCAAAAGTTTAATGACCTACCGGTAGATTAAAACACAGTCACTTTTATTACATGCATTAATTTTAATACTAGGTTACCTTCTGCAATTACTTTCACAGTCTACGATAGTGTCAGCTGAAATAATTCCGCCTTAGTCTTAGTATACCTGATTGAAGTATAGATGAAATAAAGGAACAAGGCTTAGCTGAGGTCAAAAAGGCTACATTTCTACAAAATTCCTGGGAACTAAGAAATGTTCCATAATCAGAAACAACAATAGTATTTGAGGAATCATCAATGTATTCCTTTTTTGCTTATTCTCCTGATACTTGCTCCTAAGCATTTTGACAACTTTTGTTCCATCTACTATATATTTTGAAAACTGGTTTGTCTGCTATGGGTTCGGACATCTCTAAATATATTGTCGCCCAATTTGGCAAAGGAGTTCCCAAGTTGGAAGAGTCCGTCTTAGTCTATATTTGAATGCTGGGCATCATTTTGAATTAAGATGGTGTACAAAAATGTGACTTTGGTATGATTTTTTCCAGTTTGCAAAAACTAAGACCTGACCATAAGACATGATATTTCAAAGTCTTGGGTGAACAAAGAGGTATTCACCTTGCACTGAGATGGCACCAGATAAACCTCTGCAAAGGTTCTTCCCTAACTGGAATGCCATTACTGAAAGGGCAATTTCCCAGGTGGTTATTCACCTCACTTCATTTGGTGGGCTCATTTAGAGCAGGGCCCCTGAAAAAGATCTCAAAATTTGGGTAGGTACATATAGACAAAGATGGTCTTTAGGCTCCAAGCTATTTAGGACTTCAAAACACATATAAAGGAATGTTGTTCTTTAAAAAAATGGATGAACCAATTAACAAAATATTAAATAATAAACTTAATGGGAATTGTTGAAGCGTTGCCTTGGTCTTGGGTTGTCTCCCAGGTGATTTTAATCAACTTCTATTTAAGAAATTTAGTTTTAGTTTTATTTCATGTCTTCACTGCTTCAAATGAGATTTTGAAATATTTTTGCTTTTAAAAAATGCAGAGGAAAGAGAATAAAATGCAAGCTTTAAATCAAAATTTGATGAGCTCTTTGCTATGGTAATATATTCAGATGTTAACAGTTGTAAATTTAAATATAAGAATAGGCAATTTTTTTTTATTAAAATGATGTGTATGAGAGATAAGCAGCAAGTTCTGTTTTATTATTTATCAAAGTACTTCAGTCAGCTATGGCTGTAACAATATTATACTTGCTTAAGAAAAAATACTTTAAGTAATCTACAACTCTGGGAAATGAATAAAATGGGATTACTGATATAGCAGACCTTGTGTGGTCTCACTAGAGCAGGAATTGGAGAACCTCAGACCAGAATAAAGGCAACCTTGCAGGGTTAGCTATCTGGCCCTCAGGACTCTGCCTAGACCGAACCCTCTAAGCCACACACCTCAGTCATTCTGGTCTGTATCCTTCTGCGGTGTTCCTTGCACCATCTACAGTTTTCCGTTGCTTGGAAGCAGAAGCCTTTCTGTTTTATGACACAAAGGCTATATAATGTAAAGTGCCGAAGTATCAATGTATGAGTTGGAGTTCAGCAGTAGGAAATATTTGTTTGGTAGTTCCATCAGCTGACTTGTGAAATCACTTCACTACATTTTCCTAATACTTTGTATTAAAACAGACACCATATATTTATTTTGCTTAATAAGAAGTTGCTATTTACAAAGTTTAAAAGGGGAACAAAGGAAAATAAATATGCAGATTTGTGGCTGATTATGGAAGCAGGGGGTGTCTGGGTGTCTTATATAGTTTAGAAACATACTACACTTGTCAAAAGACCTCCCTATTTCATAATAGAGCATCTCAAAGTTTGCAGTTTAGACTGTTAATTTGGAAATGCGAGCAACATTCTTATTCAGCATCAGTTTCATGATCCTGCTGCTGAAAATAGCTTCAATATTTTATAGCCCCAAAACAAGAGGAGGGCACCACATTTAACAGGGAAATGAGCAATGGTAGTAATTAGTTTCAGTCTGGAGGCTTAAATTTACATAGATTGTAAATTAACTTGATATTACAAATCTCTCATTGTCGGGTCAGTGTAAAATTCAAACTGCTTCTGTGCTGAAATGCATATTCCTGCATGCCTTCCCCCCAAACTAGATAGTATAAAGAATGTCATCACTTGGGTTGTCTGTTCAGTTCATACAATTTCAGGTGGGAGAGGGGGGTGTTATTTGGAGCACGGCACCAGCAGACAAGAGGAGTTGCAAACTTAATGTGATTTGTTTATTTCAAGCTTTTTTTGCTTCACTCTTCTGTCAGAAAGGCTCCCAGAGCAGCTAAAATATACACAATTGCAACAAGGCAGCCTCTTACAAACTAAAAGACATGGCACAAGAGGAACAACAGATGGGGAAGGTAGAGGAGAAGGCAGGCAAACATTTGCAACCAATTCTTAAAATAATTAGTAGTTACTTTTTATAATGGCCATGCTAACTCTGTTACAATATTTAAACTTTTTGTATATTTTAAATTGTATGTTGTTCTATCTTTTTGTAAACTGCTTTAAGGGCTTGCTTTTGTTTTTTGTTTTTTTTTACAACCAAGCTGTAAGCCTCCCCCAGCTGGAGCTCCAAGACTGAAAGTATGCAGTCTCCACTGGAGAAACAGTGATGGGGCTTCACCCCCAGCTTAATATACATTTGGTGGTGATGTGACTCCTACATGTGGATTTTCTGCCTAGTTTGGTCCTCACTAGCTTCAACTAGATGTGATGATAAGCACATGATTCAAAAATATGCTTAGAGTCTCCCCATCTCTTCATTTATAAAAGGAACGAAGAACATGCAGGGAGTCCTGATCTAGGTGGGGACAACAGTATGCAGTGGCTGTATTTTATTTATGCATTTATTAAGAAATTCCTATACAGTGGTACTTCAGGTTAATCTCATCTTGCTTTCAGGCTGAGGGAGCCAGCGTTTGTCCACAGACAGCTTTCCGGGTCATGCGGCCATGAGTACTAAACCACTACTGGAGGACCATGACGAGTGCAAGAGCACACAGAAATGCCGTT